TACAAGTGGAGATCCAGTTTTGCCAGCACCATTTGCTACACATGCTGTCTTTCCTCCAGTTAATGTTCTTGGCCCCTTTGTCAAATATCAGGTGGCTAAAATTGCAATTACTCATATTTGGGTCTTCAATTTTGTTCCATTGTTGACCATGACATTTTTATACTTCACAAACTTTGTATTTTGACCCCCAAAAATATGTCTGCGTACTCAAATAAAATCATAAAATGAAATCCTCATTAGAACATTCATCACAATATCTGAAATAATTTAGCTAACAGGCACTGTTTATGCTACTTAGTTAAGAGGCTTCTTAACTAAATAATCAGCATAAATTTAGAAAATCAGAGAGCAAGAAACAGGAGAAAAATGTATGTGGGTAACCACTCCAAAGCAATGTAAGTGATGAAATGACCAAGATATTGGGCTACATTGCAGAGATTTATGCAGTAAATAATTTATGGATATCATAGTATATGCATAGATAGAATGTATCTATAATCAGTTTTGCCCCCCTTTTCCTGTTTGCTTACACTTCTGCTACTCAGTTGATTAGAGCTATAAAGAGGTATTTTTCAAGAGGTGTTTTCCGCCTCCTTTGGAGACAGTACTATTTGCTTCTGAGGCAGGGCTGATCTGCAAGGCTGATGATTATAAGCCTCTTCAGTTAAACATGGAAAACAAAGATAGACAAAGCCCAGACTGTGGCATTTTAATTTTTTTAAATAGGATAGCCATGTATTAAAATGTTTATTTATAAACTGCATAACCTTTAAACATCTTAAAGTTCTTAGGAATAAAATTTAAGGATGCAGGCATATACATGATCAGGTGTTTTTATAAGAGATTATGATTGTTTTACTTTTGCTAACTCTGGAATCTTCCAGGTCTAAACAGAACTTAAATAAAAGGTTTGATAGCTCAGCCCCAGGCTGAGCATCTCTAATATTCCACTGTCCCTGAAGTCACTTTGTGTGTGTGGCAGGGAGTGGTCTCTGCTAAGGAACTTAGATTCAGGCAATGCGGCACCAGTCACATACCCCTGTGCATGCAGACAGAAAGGCCAGTGTCTGTTGCTTCACATTTAGGACCTGGTTCATGCTCCTCCTTTTGACTTCAAGCAAGTAACTGCCACAAGATAAGTTTCACATTCATGATCACTTTAAGAATGATGACTTAACTCTCAAGGACTTTGGAGGTAAATTCATCTGGTGGATTTTGGAGGTAAATTCACCATACTCCTG